GCTTCTTGATCTCAGCAACTGGTGGAGCGGAGCCCTTCATCAGTCTACTGGCAAGACGCAGAGCTGCCTCTGAACTTCTTGCTCTCTTGGAACCTCCTATAAAAGGAACAGCTGGTATTGAACAATGGAAAGGGCTGCCAGTGAGAGTACAGGCTCAGATGCTGGTTTCACAACTACAAGGTGACGGAGATGGTGACGGGAACCAAGGTCGACCTTCCTCTGCCTTGTTAGACTCTTTGCCCTGTGGTTCCATGCTGTACCGAGTTGTGGCTGTGGCATTGATGGAGCCTGATGGGGAAGAGAAGGCCAAGAAGTTGCTCCTCCCTTGGTTGCTGTTCGGAGACCCAGCTCGTCTCTTGTCCTTCTGCCGCTTTTTGTCTCCCCAGTGTTTGGCTTCACTTTGTGCCCATTACTCTGAATTACTTGCTTCCTATTTGAGTTTCCTTTCATCCTGGGGAAACTGCCTCATTTATGATCCTCTGCATGGGAAATGGCAAACTAGTGGTGTAAAAGAAGATGAAGTACCTTGGGAGGAGATGCAGGACCGTATCAGTTGCCTTTACCAGGAGTCAGAGCCTCTGGGCAGTGCAGTCCAGACTTGGCTAAGACAGCTCAAGGCCCAGGATGGGAACTTTGAAGTCAGAGGTCTGAGCATTTGGACTGACATTTTGCTGGATATGGAGATGCCTCATTTTGAAAGGAAACTTAACTTGCATTAATTAAAGATGTTGAGTAGAAAAGTATAGGTATTATACAAATCAAGTGTAAAATTCTATGATAATTACAGATAAAGTATAAATTTAATATCTAAATAAATATAAATGGGAAACTAGCTTGATCTTATGAACTGGTTTACTAATCCATAGTGAAGAAGGAATGCCTTTAAAGTGAGCACTGTTAAGTATAGATAGGTTAAATATTTTAAAATTAGTAGGCAGATTTTTGTTCCAATTGAGATTTGTACCATCTCAAAGATGGTGATTCAAAGAGTGTCTTCTTTTTGCACTGTGAAATAGCTTGAGAAGGAATGTTTTAAAAATAGTTACACTTCAGAAAAATCTAAAGTAGCAATGTGCCAAAGTGTAATCTTGCTACAGAACTAGAGCAGTTGATTAAAAAATTGTAATGTATATAGCTATTCTAGAAACATTTAATACATGTATTTAGTAACTGAAGATATAACCTGTGATGGAGTCACATTAATTGGATGTTGAACACTATTAGCTTCTTATTCATTGCTTTCCTATTCAATATATTTTTACAGCTGATGATACATAGGGCATACTGTATCTTAAGTTACTCCTGAAATAAACACGAGTGAGTTGAACTTTGACTATAGGAAGTGAGGCATTTTGATGTTTACTGAAAATCTATACTAAAGCAGTACTGTCTGTTATCCACACAATTCTTGTGAAGCAGTAATAACGATTTATAACCAAGATCTTTTAAATGAACTTGAAATAGGAACACAGAGGTCAGCATTGCCTTATATCCATGTTAGCCTTATAGTGGAGAATTGTGAAGGTGCTCTATAGTACAGTGTACATTCTTCATCATAAATTATAAAATGAAGTGCCAGTTTGGGTTTTGCACCTGTGTAGAATGATTTGTAGAAGGATCGTTCTGCTATTTTTGCTTAGAATATATTATGTGGTTTAAAAAATATTTAGAAAAAGAACAAGATTTGTGGTTCTAGATATACAGTTTCAAATTATGTTCTTTTCATGACTGTAATATCTGAAAAGGTTAAATAAAATATATGTCCATGCTATGAGTCCCTATTGATCTTTTTCAAAAGTTTTAATTAGTTTTTTTCATTGTAATCCTGTAAAGCAGGGCTGTCAAACTCCTGGCCCGCGGTCCAGATGCATCACATGCTGGCCACACCCATGCCCAGTTTAGCAAAGGGGAGAAAGTCCCGATATGTCATGTGACGCAGCTGTGACGATGTGAGTTTGACATGCTGTAAAGTAACATATATCCAGTTGTTAGTGTTGGTTTGATTTCTATCTGATAAATAAAACGAGAACGTTTGGTTTAGTGATTAAGGTATCAAGTAAAAAGCAGGAACCTCTGAGTTTTAGTCCTAGACAGCTGGGGAATCTTGTGCTAATTATTTTCAGTTTCAGGAGAAAAATGAAACTGCAGGGATGTATCCAAGGAGTCTCCAGGAATCAACATTGACTCACTCAAAGAAAAAAATTAACAATAGAATAAAAGGGAGATCCTATGCCTACTTAGTTCTAAATATATCTTGCAACCTATTCATTTACAGGTAGTCCCCAGCTTATCACAATTGAGCCCAAAACATGTATAAATAAAACTCACATATATGTACAACCATACGTACATAGTTTTTTATATATAATAAATAAATAAAACTCAAAGCAGAGAACATATCTAAGGGTCCTGCTTCCTACTGTACTTTCTCCATAACTATGTGAATGGATTGGGCTGGGCTGAGAGAAAGGGTCTGTCTAAAATCATTCAGGCAGCTTTCATGGCTATGGGAGAATTTAGAACTCAATCTTGTGGTTTGTACACCAGCATTTTATATTGTTTCTTAGCTTTGGCAACTTGAAGACGTGAACTTCAACCCCAGAATTTTCTAAGAAGCATGCTGTGTGGGGAATTCTGGGAGTTGAAGTCCATATACCTTCAACCTGTCAAGTTTGTGAGATGCTGCCATCCTACTGTATCAAACAGGCTCGGTTTATATAAAATACTAGCTCGATACCCGTGCTTCGCTACGAAACTATGTGGTCAGACTTAGTTTTTGGGGAGGAAAATAAGGTGGCGGAAATACTGCCTCTGCTTACCAGCATCCATGGTATTCATCTGGCTATCATCTTGCCAGTGTGTGAGAAAGTTGGGGGCTGTTTGGAAACTGAAACAGTATTTGCTGTGCGAACAAGAAGACAGCAAGGAGCCTTGGCATGGCTTAGGTCAACTTTTGTACTAAAGCTGGTTGCTGCTGTGAAACTAAAACTGAAAGGGAAACTTCTCTGCTTGTATAGAATAGAACAGAATAGAATTCTTTATTGTCCAAGTGTGATTGGACAAGGAAAGAATTTGTCTTGGTGCAAATGCTGTCAGTGTACATAAAAGAAAAGATACATTCGTCAAGAGTCAAGAATCATAAGATACAACAATAATAGTCATAGGGTACAATAAATCATACTAGGAAACATTCAATATAAATCATAAGGATGCTAGCGACAGTTACAGTCATATAGTCACAAGTAGGAGAGGATGGGTGATAAGGAGTGATGAGAAGATTAGTAGTAATAGTAGTGCAGACTTTGTAAATAGTTGGACAGTGTTGAGGGAATTATTTGTTTAGCAGAGTGATGGTGTTCGGGGAAAAACTCCTTATATCTAGTTGTTCTGGTGTGCAGTGTTCTATAGCGTCGTTTTGAGGGTAGGAGTTGAAACAGTTTATATCTGGGATGTGAGGGGTTTATAAATATTTTCACAGTCCTCTTTGACTCATACAGTATACAGGTCCTCGATGGAGGCAGGTGGGTAGTAATTATTTTTTCTGCAGTCTTAATTACTCTCTGAAGTTTGTGTCTGTCCTGTTGGGTTGCAGAACCAAACCAGACAGTTATAGAGGTGCAGATGACAGACTCAATAATTCCTCTATGGAACTATCAGTAGCTCCTTGGGCAGTTCGAGCTTTCTGAATTGGCACAGAAAGAACATTCTTTGTTGTGCTTTTTTGATGATGTTTTTGATGTTAGGTGTCCATTTTAGATCTTGTGATATGCTAGAATCTAGAAATTTGAAGGTCTCTACTGTTGATACTATGTAGTATTGTAACAAGTGGTAGTATGGGAGGGTTTCTCCTAAAGTCTACCACCATTTCTACAGTTTTGAGTGTGTTCAGTTCCAGATTGTTTGGTTACACCATGAGGCAAGTTGTACAACCTCCAGTCTGTATGCAAATTCGTCGACCAATCACTACTGTATCATCTGCAAACTTCAGTATTTTAACAGATGGATCGTTTGAGATGCAGTCATTGGTATATAGGGAGAAGTGGAGAAAGCACACAGCCTGGGGGGCCTCCTGTGCTGATTGTACAGGTATCAGATGTGATTCTGCCTAGCTTCACCTGCTGCTTCCTCTCTGTTAAGAAATTTATGATCCATTTACAAGTGTGTTCAGGTACCGCTAGCTGGTTTAGTTTAGTTAGAAGAATGTCTGGAATGATGGTATCGAATGCTGAACTGAAGTCTACAAAGAGGACCCTTGTGTTTTACATTTAGAACAGAGTTCTTTTCAGTGGGGAGGGGGGAGTAGAACTCCTTAGCATCAGAGCATGTTAATAATATATGAAATACTAATGCTCTGATAGTCATTTCGAAAAATCCTTTCTTAGTGAGCACCTAGAAGCCAAGAGGAACATAAGTGGCAAATTTTAAGTTTGTAGTCTTTACGGTTCTGGATTTTGTGATGATGCATGAGTGGTATTTCCCATAGATAAATGGATGGATGGATGGATGGATGGATGGATGGATGGATAGGTAGGTAGGTAGGTAGATAGATAGATAGATAGATAGATAGATAGATAGATAGATAGATAG